TTTAATCTAATTCACCCTTTATGTAATTTCTTACTACTACACCCACCTCTTCCTACTACACTGAATTAAGAGTAAATATTTTTACCAAAAACCAGATGCAAACACCTACCTACAAACTTAACGTTAAAGCAAGTCTTCTTATTTATTCTCAAACTTAGTTTTTCTAATACTATTTTCAGTTTGACGACTCTGGTGTCCTATTCTGAAGTTAAGTGAGTATAAATTTAATAGTACATTGCTTTGTTAGCTGTACTACTTTTGACTTTTCTAACATGTATCATTTACTTACCCTTTTACTTTACGAACTATTTTATCTATCTGAAAATTTAAGTTATCAGATAGTAAGTTATAGTCAATAATGTCCGCCTACTTTAGTGGAATTTTAACCGAACAATTCTTTACTTATACTTAAGACCTTTTTAATAAATATTTTTTTTTACTTTTATGTGGGTACATATATCTTAAGGTAATGCTTCTCTACCATCTCTGAATTTCTTTTTGCTTTGTGGGTTTAGCCAAGTGGAGCTCTGATTTCTAGCCTCACATTTTAGGAACAGTCATGAATTTCTGACTTATTTGCTTCTGGATATTTTGACCACATTAATTTAGTAACGTGTAACTGGTGGACTATGATCAAGTTTTGTTCATAACCCTAAAACTGTATATCAAGAAAGTATTGAAGAAGGTATTTTTATACTCTGTAATGATGATATAGATCAGGGGTCACCAGCCTATCACCTGGAGGAACTAGGCCTCTCCCACGGACCAAATTAGGAGCCAACTAGAGTTATATCATATCCTCAACATACCCCAAATCTGGACTTTGGGGCTATAAGAGAAAGCCCAGACTTCATGTACAGTATTGTAGATGTGTGATGTGCATGAATTTAACATTAAAGGCATAAATATCTTCAATTCAATTCAGTTTATTTTTCAATTCAATTCAGTTTATTGATACAGCGCCAAATTCAAAACACAAGTCATCTCAAGGCACTTTACAGTTCAACCAGATCATACAGTCAAATTGATTCAAATTGAGCTTCACAGGTGCATGTATTCACCTGTACAGGTTTTATAGATAACTGTAGCACAACGGATAGAAGATATAAAGATAAAAACACTGATTTGGGTTTACATTGAGTTTCCCTTTTTTGAAATAAAAAAGTTGTAGAAAATTAGAAAAAAGAATATCATAAGCATATAGTCTGTATATAAATATACAGACTATGCCGTTATATGAATATAAGTTCTAGGGCTGGAACAGTTCACAAAATCCACGGTTCGGTTCGGTTCACGGTTTCGTGGTCATGGTTTTCGGTTCGGTTCGGTATATGTTTATTGTTACACCGAAAAAAAAAATAAAAATAAAAATTATTAAAATTAATGAAAAATTTTTTTTAAATTAAATTATTGAAAAAATCCCCAAAAATGTATGAATTGCAATTATTTTTAATGATTCGCGGAAACCATGGATCATTTC